TTTATTGTTTTTAAATGCTTTTATAAAACAATTACAGTGATACTAGTTTCACTATTTATCAACTGGACTGTTTTTCTGCTTTGTTGTATGCTGTCACTGGTTTGTGAGATGGGTAGCTACATAAATTTGACAAATAAATACATAAATATTGCACACGGAATTATTGCCTCATCCCTTGCAAAGCTCTTGGCAACCCTCTCTAACAGAAAGTAGATTTTCCCCGAGTTTAACAGGATTTATTGAAAAGGGACAGGAAAAACTTCCAGCGAATCTAGCAATTGGCTTGCTTTCACTTTAGAATCCAATCATCACGCAGGTTGCCAAGTCAGGAGCCTTTTCGGTTTGTGGGTCTCTCTTGCGAACTGGTGAGGCAGCTGTTATCTTAATTAATAAGTAATGCCCAAGCAGTCAGAGAGAGAATCTCTCACAGACTCTGCACAGAGCATTACACCTGTCAAAATATTTCATGGAAATGGTCAAGAATGGGCCGTTTACCTCTCCTTATTCTTACAGGGGGTCTTCACAACCACAGTAGGGATCAGACAAGTCATCATGATGTAGTGCAGTCATTAAGTGAGACATATTGTTTTTTTAATGGGTTCAGTTTTATACTTCATCTACGGTTTTTCATGCTGTTTTAACTTTTGGTTGGGAGACGCCCAGAGTAAGATGGATGGCTGTATAAATGTCTTAAATAAATAAGTAAGATGTTATTGTTATTATTTTTTTGCTACATTAAATGGAACACCTGCAATGGTTAAGTGAGACATGACATGACAGCAGTAGAAGACACTGTGAGTCCCTGCTGCAGAAATGAAATAAATCAGAAAAATATTTTTTGTTCATGTTTAGTCGACACCTCAGGAACCATTTTAAAAAGACAATAATACAGGAAATATAAAACAATAGAGGGGACACTTATACGTAACACAAGGTTCTGCCATATTATTGTTCCAGTCTGGGTTAAGAGCCCTACGTTCTTTTAGCATGGCTTTGAGGAAATTAATATGGTTTAAAGATATGAATGTGGTTTTGAATTAATTACTGTCAAATTCTTCAATATAGGAATAACTATGGATTTTCCAAGTATGGCGTGCAGTAAAAAAAAAAAATGATGTCATTGTTCTCTTATAGAGCCAGACTCTCAAGTGTCAGAGAAATCAGGAGATTCAGGCAGTTCAAATGAATATTGTAAGCTTAAACTCTCTGCAAGAATCTGAGCTACTAACGATCCAAACAAATGAGCGGGAGATAAGAAAGGCATTCAAGGTGGGCTGGACTTAGAGCTCTTGCAAGTGCACAGGGACTCATGGCTTATGATGTGTTGGACCCCTCCCTTACCCTCAGCCTTGTCATCTCCTACACACATTACTTTATAATCTAAGATCAGGGCCATCCAGCTGAGGCTTTGATTACATGGTTATGAATGTCATCTTTACAGTTTAACACCCAACCACACACCACCATTCCCTGCAGATGCCTCTGGCTGGAGTTCAGAATATGCATTAGCTCATTATCCTTTAGCTAAGTAGTGAGAACATTATTAATATTTTTCTCTGTGATCAAGATTTAATGTTTGGATCTAGGTAAATATTAATAAGGCGACACAGTGGCTCAGTGGCTAAGACACTGAGCTTGTCATTCAGGTCAGCACTTCGAATCCCTAGCACTGCGTAACGGAGCGAGCTCCCATTACTTTTCCCAGCTTCTGCCAACCTAGCAGTCAAAAGCTTGTAACAATGCAAGTAGAAAAATAGGCGCCACCTTTGGTGGGAAGATAACAGTGTGCTCTTTTCGGCATTTAGTGATACTGGCCAGTATGTCGGCTAATTCTAACACTAACACTAACCATAGAGATGTCTTCGGACAGCGCTGGCTCTTCAGCTTTGAAATGGAGATGATCACTGCCCTCTACAGTCAGGAACGACTAGCACAAATGTGCAAGGGAAACCTTTACCTTTAAATATTAATAAGCCACAGAATATTACTTTCTTCTGGGTTTTGTAGCCTTATTTTTCTTTCTGTCTGTCTAATCAACAGATAATCATTAAAAAAATGAAACCAGCCATTGTTTTAGATTTACATTTCCTCCCTCGCCAAGTGTGTGCATAGAGATTTACGCTTAAATTACGCTTGATGCCAACAGCCATGTCTCTGCTCACCAAACATTCACCTTCCTCCTTCCTTATTGGGTCTCCTAATGGCGCAATCACTTTTTCTGTTCTCTCTCATCTCATTCTCAGCCATCCAAGCAAGTCACTAAAATGAATATTTATCTGTCTTGGGTCACATACATCCAGAAGGTTGTGCAATTTTCCCCCAAAAGTCATCTCCAATTCTTCCATTATTACTATTCATTGGAGCATAACATGCACTGATCAGCAGCCTATTGATTTCTATTTTCATATACATCCATAATCACCAAAATGCCAGTAATTCATACCTACCAACATCCTTTTAGCCCTCCCATTCATAATTAAACATAAAGGCTAAAATTGTA